CCACAACCTCCTGTAATTCCTCTCTAGTAAATTCAGTTTCAAGCATAATTTGGTCAACATTACTAATGACAGCAAATGGATTCGGCCACCCATCTAATGAGCATTTTTTGTATTCCCATTTCAACGTGAAAAAATCTGAGAGACTCTTCTGGATAACTGCCTCTTCTTCCGAAATAATACCATCCGTAGTCTTTATATGACTAATCCAGTTGTTACTTCTTCTGGCATTGGCAAAGGTATGAAAAAAAGATGAATTACAATCACCTTCGTCCATCCATCTTGCTTTAGCCCTTTGTCTCCACCAAGTGTTAAGTCTAGCCAAAGTCACATTGAGTTCATTAATTTTAAACCTCAAAAGATGTAACCTATCAAAAGAGATCCACCCTTCATCCTCCTCCAGCTGAATTTCCAAAATTTCATTTTTCAGTTTATCTCTTAAAAGATTCAGGTTCATGAACTTAGCCTTACTCCAGTAAAAGAGACCTCTTAAGGTCCTTTTAAGTTATAAATTGAGAACAGATGGTGGATCACCCAAACAGTTTTTAAGCCAAATTTTCTCACCAAAGCAACTGCACCGTGGTAGGATGCCCATGTTTCTTCATAACGGATATCCCTTTTAATAGTCTTCACAGGTTTGTAGATATCCAACAGTAAAGGACAATGATCCGATGCAATACGGGATAAGTGTTTAACTATAGCAAGATGGATGTTGTTTAATGTAGAGGAATTAATCAAACATCTATCTAACTTCTCCAAAATCCGGGCATTACCAGATTTATTGTTACACCAAGTGAACCTTGGCCCCATCGATCTCACCTCATGAAGATCATTGATAATCATGAAGTTATCAAAATCCTTCGATCCTTGATTTAAGCAAAACTTTTTCCCTCCTCTTTTTTTAGATTGGGAAAGTACACAGTTGAAATCCCCTCCCACTACCATAGGGAGATCAGTTGAACAACGCCTTTCAATATCAATCCAAAGTCTCTTCCTTTCATTAGCATCTATGCTACCATACACCGAAGCCACAATCCAGCTGCCTTTACCGTGAACTTACAACTTACCCAAAATCATCTGAGAAGAAGCTTCAATAACAAAAAGTCTGCTAAATCATTCCTCCATATCACCTTTAGACCACCTGACAAACCAACAGATGGAACTACAAAAGAATTCCAATTCAGACCCAAAAACTTCAAAAGGTAGATGTTATCCTGAGAGTTAATTTTCATTTCCAAAAGCCCAGCAAATAAAACTCCATGATCCTTGATCACCTCCTTAAGATATAGAACAGCCTCCACCTTCTTGGCTCCTCTACAATTCAAAAATAATAACGAAGTCATTGCTTAACGATTGGGGAACCCCCCCCCCCCCCCCCCCACCTTCTTAGCTTTTCCACCTTCCATTTTTCTGTTATGCGGAATAATATTACCAGACACAAGGGATTTAAGCACTTTGACAAGCTTAGTCTTTTTCTCATAAGAATGACTTCCACCCAATGAAAAATCATTAACAGGCAAATCCTTAGATTTGAGAATCCACTGGTTGCACCTCCAACAAAGCCGTTTAAAGCTACTTCTTTATTGGAAATAAAAAATTCCCCTTTCTCTACATCATTCACCTTAACAGACTCAGGACCTTTCACCTCAATTAATTCTTCTAATTCATATAAGACATCAAATTTGTTAAGAATTTTCACTCCAGAACTGTTACTTGAATTAACTCCCTGTTTTGTTTCCTTCACCAACAGAGCTTCCACAGCTGGACAATCTACCATACAAGCTTCACTCACACCCATTCCAGGAATGAAGATCTCCTTATTATTTTTATCTTGCTCCTCTGCCAATTTACCCATCACTTTCAAATTAGAAATTCCAGTTTTAGGAATAAAAACCTTCGTCATTGGGACAGAAAATTTTTTGTTGAAAAATCTTCTGTTAGCAGCAACCTTATTAAACCTTTTTTTCCCATGGTTCACTTGAGTCCAAGCGTTGTCTTCAGCCTTTCCACCTTCAATGACAGATTTCCCTGCGGCCAATTGAGAGATCTTTCCACCATCCACACTGGCATGATTATTCAAGTTGGAGTCCACAACCACCTTATTCTTCAAATCAGTACATGTTTTTGAAACATGCCCTATTTTCCCACACTCCGAACAGATTTTAGATAACCCTTCATACTCTACCTTTTAAAAAAATTCTCCAGCTAAACCCTTCACCCAAACACCTTTTGCCTTCTACTCCACTAGAACATATTTCCCATCTAGAAGATACGGCTTGCCAACTAGAGAAGCAATCCTGCAGATGTTTACCTCATCCCAACACTGCAGAGGTAAATTAGGCAGTCTAATCCATACAGAAGAAGTAATGCCCTTGAGAGATGTAGGATTGAAATTAGCCGACCACTTGTCCAAGCCAACTACCTGCCCCTTAATCCACCAAGGTCCTCCTAAAAGAATACTTTCTAACGCTTTCGGATCCTCAAAAGAGCATAAAAACCAGCCAATTCCTAACCATGTGATGTGGAACTTCCCAAACTTATCCCACTGTCTCCTCAAGTCAGTGCTTATCACATGAAACGGAATATTGTCACCAAAGATCTTCACAACAATAGCTTTATCCAATTTTTTAGCATTCTCCAATTCCTTTTCAGCACGAAGGAAAGCCACTCTACCATCAACAAATAAAAAAGAACCGAGATCCAGATTATCAACCCTCACATTCGGTCATTTGTTCCAAGCCGAATTAACCTTCATAATTCCAACCTTATTCACATCAGAATTAGAATTGGCTAAACCAACTTCAGACACATCCCCTGGCAGACCAACATCCTTCTAAAGAGACAAATCCACATCCACATTAAACACATCCTCTGTACTACCAATAACCAGAAATTCTGAAAGAATTTTACGATTGACTGGTGAAGAAGGCAGAGATTTCGAATAGAAATCTTTGTAAGAATTAAATTTCCTTCTAGCTGATGAAGAGGCTTCTACACCTCGACCCCCATCCACAATGTCACAACCGACTTGAAAGGATGGAATCTCCTTCTTCTTTAGAAAAAGCTCCTCAACTATATCCTTACCTTTAATAGGTAAATGAACATGAATCACTTTCTTGTCCAACAATCCACCCTCGTTGATGATCAACGACTTTTCTTTCATACCTTTGAAATTCTGATTGAATCAAGAATCGGTAAAGCCAAATTCTTCCTGTAATTCTTTCAAGCTTCCATTGGGAGGATCCGCCTTTGCTCCATCAACGCCTTCTCGTCCTGCCGGAGCGCCGGCAAATCGCTGGACTACTCAGCCGCAAAAAAATCAGTACCGTCGAAACTTAATTTTGAAAAACCAGACAAATTGGTTGTTTGGTCACTTGTTCCCC